ACCCTCCACAATAAAAATGATTAATCAACCTCTCATAATTACAAAAAAATGAACAAAATGAAAAATTATGATTGGTTGAATGCGGTTTGCACGGTTTGTACAAATTGAGTGGTTTGCATTTGATCGCTCCCCTATATAGATATATATATATATATATATATATATATATAACGGTACGGGGCAAGGAGTACCAAACCCGTCCCCATCCCCGGTTTGAGACAAATGGGGATCCCCGTCCCAACGGGTCGGGGCCCATTCCCATGCATATCCTTGATATGTCACCCTTATAACTAAAATACACATCTCCTTGATATGTCATCCTTATTTCATTCACATGATATAATCATACCAAAATATCAATTCATGTTATTCATAGCATCCAAAAACAGTTTTTATTATCATCCTCATGTAAAGAACCACACAGTTCTAAATTTCAATACCATAAAAGGAAAGTTTGTAAAATAACTCACATTTTAATCACGATGAGATGAAGATAAAAATATCAGCAACAAATTTAGTTAAAAATCACATAATCAATCCCTACTAGCTCCCCTTTTTGGTTCTGTTTTACTTCGGTCTCCAAAAAACAGACGTAGAAATGTTTTCTTCTCACCAACTTTTTCTTACTTTACTCCCAAAACCAATGAGAAAGTAAATATCTCATATATCCATTTTAAACAATAAGAGGCGATGGATGCTTTTAAAAGAATTAAGCATATAAACAGATTAACCCCTCAACTTACTGCCACCAATAAAAAATAACCCCGAATCTTTTAACCAATAATCCGCTTATCACACATAACGTTTTGATGTGAAGTTTCAAATATAAAAAAAGTGGTCACATGGGTCCCACAAAAACAAGTTGGTCTCACGTGAACCGATATCTCTCTCTCTCTCTCTCTCTCTCTCTCTATATATATATATATATATATATATATATATTAAAATTCCACTTATTAATTTCCACTAATTTTTACAAATGATATGAATTCGATTTTTGATAATTATATTTACCAACTATCATGTATTTATATGGATAAACTACATATTACTATCCAAATTACTGATACTACCGTGTAACGTATGGTTTCCACACTAGTGTGTGTGTGTGTATAAGCAAAATGTAGAGTTGCTTAGATGGTACAATAAGAAGCCTCTATTCTAACGTCACTTTAAGATAGTCTTTAATCACGGCATCGTTAATTCAGGTGGATCTTGTGGGAATCCTATACGTAATTGAAAATTTGTTATGACAAACGCCCAAAGCAATTCATAAACTCTATTCTTGTTCTTCTATCAAACTTATGAACACATGGTTCTTAACTAACTTTCTTATTGATTCAATCAGAAGATATATAAGTTTCTCTCAAAGTACAAAATTCATATCATGTAGGCAATCTCAGACCATAATTATTACTAGCATATATGAGATTACGTGACCAGAAGGTTATGGGCCTCGCGAGCTACCATAGCAATGCAGGATGAATCGTTTAGCTTAATGAATGAACCATTTATAAAAATTGTTTGTTTTTACAGTAACGACTATGAACATTGCTTTGCTGCTTGATGAATGATTATATGCCCCATGCATGCAGATAATTCCCGGTCCGACCCGGAATAAACCCGAATCACGCCCACCAGCCATCAACAAGGGGTTTAGCGTCCGAATCAAATTGTTCTTCGACCAATTTTCATCATTCTATTTACTGTAAGTTATTAATAAAATTTATACTTCCACAATGCATAAAATTAGCATTTAATTCGAACCATAAACTTGTATTTTAAGGTTTTATTTCAGTTTCATGATCAAAACGTATCACTACTAACTGTACTTTTAGGTTAAATCAATGGTTTTTATACCATTGTTACAGATTAAAAAATTTACCAAATAATTCTGTAAACTCAAATACCTGTATAACGACTAAATTGGCTTAGACAACCACATCAGGTTGATGTTTTCGTTATCGAATTAATTCTCGTTTTACGGTCTTTTTCTGTGTCTAAAAATAATTTTGACAATACATCGTAGGATAACGTCTCACCATAGTCAAGACACTGACAATGTTCCCCATGTCACCTTTTTTTTTCCAAGTTGTTTTTAACATAAATTCAAACAGTTGATCGTCAAAGTTTACATCCGTATGGTTTATTCACCGAATGAATTTTAACTTAAGGTATTTTTATATATTTTAACTATTTTGGTACAAATAAAACAAAGTTATATCTTTAGATATTTCTATAATTTGGTAATAAATTACACAAGGGCTTTGGCAGTCCTTGATTCGAATCCAGGATAGATGAAATTTTCCACTACATCCCCCAGAGTCTTATCCAGTGATCTACAACCAGAGGTAGTTGTTTTTGTTAAGTAGCGAAATTGTTCAGATATATTACAGTTATTAGAAATTATATTAGTATAATGTTAAATGTTATGGGCCATTTACCAAACATTTATCAGGTAAGTGCTTATCAAGTCAATTAGACCTTACCGGTTAAGTATAAAAAGAACCGAAAATTTTACCTAATAGACAATGATTGAGAGTCTTATCCGGTAAGTTACAGGTCATTAGGATATTACTTTTCCAAATTTACCTACATATTCTAAAAACTTAATGATTTTCTAAAAATAAGGGACCGTTTACCTAAATGTTTACCGGGTAAGTGCTTAGAAGTCTATGACTATAATTTATTTTACCGAGAAAGACTATAGTACATCAAAATGGTATCGTATGCAACCATTTACCTGGGAAGCACTTACCCGGATAAAAGTCGTCACCCCCACATACCGAGTAAAACTCTTCATTTTTATCATTGTTCTTACTGGGTAAGATTTTTGACCCTTGTCATGTTCATCCGGTAAGGAAAATTACCCGGTAAGCACTTTCTGGATAAACCTTCCCTAAGTATAAAATAATAATAAATGATTACTTTTTTATTAGAATTGTAAGCCGACGGCTGATAGGATAACATAAGAGAGTGAAAGGAGGGAATTGAAGAGTAAATTTAAACACCAAAATATCATCTAATCAACAACACAGCAGTCGTATCTTTTCCTCACTTTCACCTTCAGACCATCTTTCATCCTGATCGTTAACGCTAACACGTGCTCCGGCGGATTCTTCTCCTCCGCCGCTCCCACCACCTCCACCTTAAATTTCTCGATGATTGTCGCTGCCACAAGCTTCATTTGGGTATACGCCATTTCTTTCCCTAAACAAATTCTGGGTCCACCATGAAACACCGGAAACTTAAATGGGTTTTCCGGTCTATACACCACCTTTCCTCCGCCGCTCTCCTCTTCCTCCAACCACCKCTCCGGYCKAAACTCAMGRCARTCWKYCCCCCAAAYRCTYTSCATTCTCCCCATTGCGTATGTGATATACGTCACGAACCAACCTTCCCCRACAAAMGTCCCGTCYGGCATSACGTCRTYTTTCAGGCARKCCTTTGTRTCCACCGGCACCGGCGGGTACAACCTTAACCCCTCCGAGATTGCGGCATGCAGATAATGCATCTGTCGGAGCTCGTCGAAGGAGTAAAAATCTTGGTGACTTTTGCCGGAGCTGAGACGGATGGCTGTCAGTTCGTCGAGTATTTTTTGCTCCACTTCGGGATGTGAAGATAAAATCCAAAAGAACCATGTGAGAGCAGACGACGTCGTATCACGACCTGCTAATATAAAACTTATGGCAATGTCCCGGAGAAACTCCGGCGAATATTCCGGCTTGCCCATGAATCGGGATAACAAATCCTCGTCTTTTTTATCGGTCTTATCCTCCATTCTCGACTTTATAATGTCGCCGGCGAACTTATGAACAATAGCGATTGATTTTTGCAACTTTAACTCAGAACCAATTCTCAACAGTTTCTTCATTTTGTAAATCCATGGAAAAACATACAAAAATCTCCCGGAACTAAGCGTCGCAGCTTCTTCAAAAGCTTTCATGAATTCAGTACCGGAACTTCCATCGCCGGCTAAACAACCAGGGTCGACGTTGAATGCCACCTTACATATATTATCAAAAGTGAACCTCTCCAGTAGCTCTTGAAGATCAAGAACCAGATCCAAAGCTACAGCTCTTTGAAGAATGGGTATGAATCGGGTACGCAACTCGACGGCGGCGGTTTCCATGACGAAATTCCTGAGGGACCTGGTGTTGAACTCGTAACTTGCAATTTTACGCTGTGCCCTCCAGGCTTCGCCTTCAGAGTTGAAGATGCCACGTCCAAGGAAGTCATCAAGGAACGAAATGAATCTGGTTCCTTTAGGGTAGTTATCAAAGTTGGTTTTAAGCATGTGTTCGACGTTTGCAGGGTTGGCGGTGACGAAACCCTTGATTTTTCCGGGTCGGATTAAGATGGCGGTGTTGGTTGGACAGCGGGAGAGGACTTCGGTGCTCCAATCAAGAAAACGGTGGCGATTTTGGAGAAATTCGGGTATGGTTCCGAGGAATGGGTAATTTTTGAATCCGGGTTCGGATTCGAATTTGGATTTGGATTTGGATTTCGTTGAGTGGAGGAAGAAGAAATAGTGAATGAAGAGAAAGAGCGGGAAGATTAAGATCAGAGACATTAATATCTCCATGTTTATGATGTTGGAGTGGAGTGGGACGAACCCTCCATCGTCCCTTTTGCTCTTTATAAGCACTCGGGATATACCTACCATCAAACGGAAATTCATCAAAATATGCAAATGTATCTAAGCCTTATTTCAGACATTTTAATTTTAACAACTCAACTTAATGTTTACGTTTTGAAAAATCTCAACCCAAATAAAACTATAATGTTTGATCGGGTTGAAATTTTGGTACATCAATATACAATGTAGCTAACTGTTTGTATTTAAATGACAATGTTTTTTTTATTAACCTGGATATTCAACCCGTTATGCGAGCCAACTAATTACAGGACGACCACCTGCTTTGCAGATAGCCCGGGGTCACCGTATTTGAACCTCCGTAGTCACAAAAAGATTTTTATTCCTCCTTGGATTTGAACATGTGACCTCCTGCAGGTACTTTTGACCTTTGGAGTCAAACTCAAACCAATCAGGCACCACTCTCCTGAGACTTCCTGTTCGTTGGTACATTTCTTTGTTGGTACATACAATCTTTTTCCACGATAATGTGTGTTCATGTTCTTCAAACACATTTGACATATACATCAATGACGGGTTATTTTTGTTGATAGGCGAAGTTTTCTAATCAAATTCGACTCAATTTCCATGTGAAGTGGCTTCAAATTTTTGGCAATCGGAAAGTGGCTCAAGCAAGGGCTATTTTGGGAACCGACTTCTGTTACCGTTCATCCTTGGCACCCAATTAAAGTTTTTGTGTGTATTCATACTCTTCAAACACATTTTATGTGTATAAGCAAACAGGGTTTTTCTAAAGACAACTCTTTTATTACTTATAAGTTGTGATATTCGGATTGGTGACAAATTCAATAACATTCCTCTCATAAAAAAATTAAGTACTCGTAAGTTGCAAGCATGCAAGATAAAATGGTTGAACACAGGACGTGTTACATGTGACATCTCACAACGAAACTTGTATAGCATGGGGTCAACTCTCAAAGCCGACCTAGTCACATACATTGACTACAATATGTACCGGTCTTGACTGAACTGAACCGTATATAAATTAATGTACCTTGTACATTGTGATACATATACCATATATATGTATCTTCATAGCGTCCCGCATGATACTACCGATCGACAGTTTGAAACATGATCCCTCGTACATGCCCAAAACACTTGACATGTTTTAAAAACGGTAAACATTTAATTAATGTCTCTGAAACTACTTAGCATATGAGTAAATATTGTATCGTGACTAAAAATATTAAATGATGCAATAACACAAAAGTTACGAGTTTATGTTTTTGCAACGTGCGTTTAATAAAAGGTATTATATGATTATTAAAATAATTATATATATATATATATATATATATATTATATARACTTGAGATCATGTGAGACCAAAAGTTTTTTGTGAAACCCGTAAGACCAATTCCCAACACTTAGATTAGATCTACAATCTGAACATTCATAATCACAAAGTTGCCACAAGACTTCTCAATAATCACAAAAATGGGGTTCCGTCCCCTTTATCCAAAAAAAAAAATAATCACAAAAATACCACCATACAACTTTAGACCATTAGCTTATAAAGTTGATCAATGAACATAAATTGATCTTACGAGTCTCACCTGAATCCAAATATATATATATATATATATATATATATATATATATATATATATTGTGCATGAAAATGTGTGTAACAGACGTCCACGTTTCCGGTACAACAGATTCCATTAACGTCTTTACATCAAATATCAACAGCAACGATCACCCCCCATCAACAAAATAAAACCAACTTCTTTATCTCATCCATAAAACTGGACCAACTATTTTCGTACAATTCAACAGACCATACACATGATGCCTCCATACTTATGCTTTCTGAGGTTGAAATATATATATATATATATACACACACACACATATATATATATATATGTGATTTTTAATTTAATTTCGGATGCATTCAGTTAAGCCAACAATTGTTCATTATGTTTAACCATCCGTTTTCATCTTCATCTAACAAGAACTAGATGATATGCCTAAAAATTTAGAACAGATATAAAAAGCACAAAGAGAGACAACAATACTTCGTATCGATCGTTCAAAGCTATGCCCTCGTCAAGAAAGCAATGGACTCCCATTCATGACTGCAGATGACATCCTGTAATAAGACATGCCAATGCCAGTCAGTATGTATAATGTTCTTTTTACCTCAAACTACTACCTAACAATTAAAATATAATTGCAAGAGTGAACCATATATATATATAGCCACTCATGTGATGTTAATTTGTACATACCGAAGGGTTCTGTCGATCAATGTCAAAGCTATTGATGGCACAGTTTTCGGCCAATAGCTCGGTAGGTTCATCACCTACATAAATTAACATCCAAATTATCCAATGGTTGGAATTATGCTCTAGTACTCAACATATTATTTGTGCCAATAAAATACTCCTCTATTTCAAAATAAGTGTCCATTTTCTTTTTTTTTGATTAACCCGGATATCCAACCCGCTATGCGAGCCGACTAATCCCAGGGCAACCACCTGCTTTGCAGATAGCCCGGAGTCATCGCATTTGAACTTCCGTGGCCACAAAAGGATTTTTGTTCTTTCTTGGATTTGAACCTGGGACCTCCAGACACTTTTGACCTTTGGAGCCAAGCTCAAACCAATCAGGCATCACCCTTGTGGTTAATAAGTGCCATTTTCAAAAGCAGGTGTGTAGGTTCCAATTCTACCCTTGATTATGAGATGGAGAAATTCATTACTCCCACTATTATTAACAGTAAAATTGTCACATAATTACACAAATGTAATGATTACACATTCCTAAAATGGTATGCATTTTTTCATTGTAGACATTTATTTTGGGACGAAAGAGCAGTTGGCCTTGCAGGAATCAAAATCACTGATAGACACTATGGGAATTTTTTTTTGAGCTGGCTTTCTTTCATGGGCTCCAATGTTGAGCGCTTCGGGAACTAATGTAAGTTTGTATTTGATAGTACATCTCACAGTTGCCACCTCTAAACAAAAAGCAGAAAGAAAGGAGGATAAAGTATGCAGATTTAAATTACTTAATTAACATCTGTACCTTGCTTAATAACGGCAAGAATCCCATCTTCTGAACAAATCATAACAGGCAAGACTCGTTCGGACGATATATTAGCACGATTTGAAGCGCTCATAAAAGTGTCATATTGAACCTCCCATACCTCACTTTCAGATATGCTAGAGCTAGACATTGGCTCACCAGCATCAATTCCTGAAAGGACTATTGGCTGCTGTGGCCTCCGAAGATCCCATGCAAATACAGTACCATAAGAGCCTCCTGCCTTCAAATTACAGAAAACATAGGGACATGCCCTTGTAAATTGGGTAATGTGTGCTAAATAATACTGCATGACTAATGAGACATAGAAGTTCTTAAGAAGGTACAAGCAATTATCCGACATTTTATTTGCAATTTTAATGGTGCACTGTGCAAACACGTACATACTACATACAACAGCATAAACGCTGCTAACGGATTCGACTAGGTACTTCTCTGTTAATTTTCGTACCCATAAATTAGAGTGAATAACAAGTACCTTTAAGAGAGGTTATTATTTGATTCAAGCAACTTTTTGAGGGCAAATTGCATCAAAATGAAACCAACTTTGCGTCCATCCCATATTTTGGGAAGCACTTTGAAAACCTCTATTTTGGGGGCTGCCTAGAAGCAAACAAATTAGGATGCTGGTTACCTCGTTAACAAATAACCGGTTAACCCGAATGATTTGGCAAAAAAATTCAATAATGCTTATGTGGAAAACTGCTCACCCTCAACTTTATGATTCACTGAATTAGCCTTTCAAAACCCTGGCTCTAGCTGGTTGGAATCCATTTTAAACTCTCTGAAACCCTAAAATTGAATTCCACATCTCACCCCACCAACCCCCTTCTGGTGTCAAGCAGGTTTATAAAGGATGTTTACTCCACAGTCACCATCATCTTCACATGGATGGCTTAAGGTGCTGAACAGCCGGAGCTTCCACCTGCAACAACGGAAAAACTGCTGAGTCCATGGTGCAGCAACCTGTTCTTTGCAGTGGCAGCATAGTCCGGAGAAGAGGAAGAACGATAACTTGGAAGGGTGGGAACTGGGAAGTGCCTGTGCATCCACCCTCTGTCCGCCACTAGCTTGCTTCCCACGATAAACTCATCATTAACTTCACTGGTCCTTTTCGCTTTAAATTGACCCGGTCGCCGCTGACAGAGCTGACAAGGGATATGATTACTTTAATTGAGGTAAGTCGGAGTTCATGGAGATGATGAAGCCTTTTACAATGAGAAGGCGGTGAAGAAGGGTAGTTTGATGATTTCAGCTTGTGGGTTTGATACAGTTCTGGCTGAATTAGAGTCAATGTTCAATTCCAGGCAGTGAGTTTTCCCTAGTGTGCACTGTGCTGAATTGGGTTGAAGCCTACTTGAGCCTTGAGTAGGATAGAAGGTTACACTTGCCATTTGAATCGGCCATTTTGGGAGGCAATGGCCATCAATTAGACATCGTTCTCATTCAGGAGACCCAATCATCAATTCTATTTGGCCATCAGAAGGGTGGAAGGTGTAGTGATACCTTCTCTTGAAGAGAGAAATTTTAGGTCAAAAACCATTTCATTTCAACAGTAGTTAAAACTTCGAGGTTTATAAATATGGTGAACTTCTTACCAGGGAGATGGCTGGGCAGCCTTTGTCATTCTAAAAGAGCTGCAAGCTTTAAAGATTAATCTAAAATGATGGAATGTCCAGATATTTTGCAAATAATAGGAAGATTTAAATATGGAGAAGCACAGCGTACAACAGCTACCAAGTATTAACAAAGATGAAAAAGAGCTAAAGGGTTTTGGGACATTTGAATCAGCAATTTTGGGTGTGGCTAACAAGGATTTGCCATGTAAGTTACTTACATGACATTTAAAAAAAATATTTGCCATGTGGAATAAACAGGTACCAAATCAAATTCTCCAAATAGAGAAGTAATCGAGACCCTTAATTGTTTGCAAAGTTTGCTTGTAGGCCCCAAAATGGAGGTTTTGAAAGTTGGTTCCCCAAAATTGGAATGAACCCAAAGTAGGTTCCATTTTGGTGCAATTTACCTTTTTTGTAGAACAAACAAGAATGTGCATGGGTTTCCTAGAAATTATAAGGTATTGTGAGTGAACAGACGCTATCCAACTACACCAGAGAAGATGACTTGGATCCCTATGCCCAATCTTTGATGCCTTATTTGTTATGTCGACTTGGGTAGTCTTGGTGATTGATAACATAACTAGGTTTAGGTACCAGTACATTATTCAATAAGATTGGAGACAAAAACATAAATAAAATTTCACCCGCACAATATGATCTTCAGTCTAAGATTGCAAGATTTTGTCACTTTAATTAGTTAAGAGCAACGTAGCATACTCACCAGGCATGTGTGCTTTCGTGATGGATGAATATCGATAGAGTGGACCACCCCTGAAGCAGCTCCTTGAGACCTGCAATAGACTCTTACCAAGTCATAAGCTAAAAGATAAATATGAAAGTGATAAAAGATAAATATGAAAGTGACTAAGTATATAACATGGCAGTATATGGTTTATGACTGAAAAACCATAAACTATATGAGCTGCTCCTATAAAGGAAAAAGAGAAGGCAGGTACTGTAGATTAGTACAAAGTAAAGATATGCTAACTAGGCTTGTATCAACTTGAAGCAACCAGAAAGACAAAATTTATGTCATTGCAATATATGAAAGCCAACAGCTTTTAAAAAATATATGCACTCTATTCCCAGACTTTCAGGAAATATTATGATGATTTATTTTCATATGATGTACGAACCAAAATCAGCTGTTATGAAAACTTATCATTGTTTGGAGCACTTCCTATGTCAACCCAAGTAATAGGAAAAGACTAAATTGTGGTGACTTGGCATGTACACAAGATTGATTTGTTTTACAAAGCAATTTCCCTTCCTGTAGTAGTAAACTGTTTCATACCGTTTGATGGTAATGTGTTTCTCCTCCCCTGGTTCTTACTGTTACTTCTATGGCTCCTTACTTAAAGAGAACATTTGACTTGGAGACTTGAACTAAGACACAATCTTTAGGGTGAGGCATTAAAGTTGCAATACAATAAACTTAAAATATAAAGGTTGTTATTCATGTGTCATGTTATGAACTTAGAAAGCTTCGGAGAGAATAGAAGAGTAAATTTATGTCAGGGTGAGGCACTAAAGTTGCAATACAATAAACTTCTTTGTAATTCTACTAGTCTAAGTTGCTTTAGGCTTGCAGGATATAACTTGCCATCACATATACACTATTACCAGATCATTTGATTTCACTTGGTGTTATAATGTTATAGATTCAAGAAGATGGCCAGTTGCTTTTCGACTGGTTCCAAAATAACCCGAAAAATCAAAATGTAATAGCAGCGTCCTTTAGAGATACAGAAAAACCACCACCCAAAGGCTTCGCCGGGCTGTTCCGACTCGGAATTCTCGATACAGTCACACCACGAAATCCCGAATCAGCTTCCAAGATCACCTCCTAATCTTGCCAAAGACTAGAATAGCAATGGAAATAATCTCTAAGGA